CAATGCATATAGGAAGGCCAAAAAATACCAAACGGGGAACAAAATTTTGAGCCTTGATTAGCAGTAATCGCGGCCTTTCCGAAACCAGGATCTGGAGTTGACTTTGTATTGTTGCAAACCTAACTGTTCTTTTTCTTCATGTTTTATAGTCGACTCTCTCTTAACGGACCCCTCTATAAGACGGACATCTCTATAAAACGGACACCTAGAGTTGGTCCCTGCCTTTGTTTATTCCCTTTATTTGACTCCTTTATAAGACGGACATCTCTCTAAGACGGACACTTAGTGCCGGTCCCAAAGGTGTCCGTCTTGGAGAGAGTTGAATGTACATGTAAATGATTTTTGTTATATAAGAATAGCACTATTTGCACTTGTAAAGCACGAACGTTTGAGACTACACCAAACGTCGTGGCACCTCATTTTTAACACATCATAAACCGAAAATAACCTGAGAAATCTTAATTATCCTGCTTGACTTATGTTAGGATCTTTTGACGATATTACAAATTGATTTGATTGTGGGCATTTTGTTGCACAATAAATTAAAGGCCAATAAACGAGGTTATCACAGTAGCCTGGCTTTGGTGTAAATGAAATTTTAAAACTTTGGTGTTTGTGATAGGCTGTCAGCAGAGGAAAACAACGCTAAAAGTTTTAAAATATCCAAGGCTTCATTCGTCTTTGGACATTGAACATTTTGGCTTCATAACCCACGTTCGATGTATTAAAATTCTAACAGGACTCCGATGCTTTCTGGTCATATTTCTATATCTGTTTTGGTTTTCTTTCTTCTTTTCTCTTCTGGGAATTGCGAGGAAATGGAGTCGCGAAAAATTTGCAATTTTAACCCTAAAGCTCCAGAGTCATGTTAGAATTTTTGTACATCGAACGTGGGGTATTGAATACTTAATATTCCCGGAATATTGTACCCTGAAGTAAATATAGGTATCTTTATATATAAATACTAACCTCTGATTTCAACGGTAAAACTGCAAGACGCAACATTTCCGGCGCAATCTCTAGCAGTAACAACAACTGTAGTCCCACCAATAGGTAATTCTTGTAAAGAATGATGACTTGAGGTCACATTGATCTTTGCATTGGGATTCACAATAACAGAGTTGTCTGTCACATGGATTTTCCACGACACCTTTCCAGTCGCCTTCCCTTTGATTGTTTCAGCTCTTAAGAGAGGTTGAGGACACGTCAATGTTGGGGACCGATAATCTATAGATTAGAAATACGGACAAACCCGGCCAGTTAATAAGGAAACTGAGGGGGCCATAGGGAGTGTCCGTGTTAAAGGACAAAGCAATCTGTCCGTAATAAGGTGTTGGTATTAAGCGGGTGTACGTAAAGCGGGTTTTGACTGTATAAGGCCGAAACAGAATTAAACTAAGAAAACTTTAATTCGTAACACTTTATGCAAACGAAAGGAAGATTAAAGTCAGCAAAAAATACGAAAGTTTTACTTTTACGAGGTGCTAATTTTAATTGCAACATCCAATGTTGTTATCCAATGTATTTTGAAGTAAAATTAACATTGTTAGAAAACGTCCCGGGGTGAGCTACTCAACAAAGTCTTATGACGGGAAAGCTCCGCCCCGCGGTCCACCCTATCACCTTTTTATATACCATTTTTGATAGAAACGGTAGCCCTTTTTATACCTTCTGTTGACAAATAGGCCCCTTTTTCATATACCTAGATTAAAACTTTGCATCGCTTTTAACTGCTGTAAATTCAATATCTTTTAAGTATGTATAAATCACAAAACCAGAAAAAAAAACAGTTTGCTCGGCATTTTTCAGTTAAAGGCCCTTTTGGGCCTTTAACAGATCAAAACGACTACATATACCCTTTCATATACTTCAACTAGTGAAACCACTACCCTTTCATATACCGGAAGCATGAAGTCGGTTACCCCTTTCGGGCGATGCGTCCACGTATAAGACATTATAGCAAGTACGTACCCTTGGGATAGTGGAAAGGACTCAATGTATTTTTTGATATTCAAAATATTAAAAAATTAGCTGAGACATCCACGCTTAACTGATGACGGAATACTGTTTTAAAGTTTAGAAGTATGAAGTGTTATGAAGATCGAATTCGACCACTTCGGTTGATAAAATCCTCAAACGTGTCTCGTTTCTAGGCGTCTCAAGTGTTTGGTAGAAAAAGCGACTGGGAGCGATCAATAGACCATGGGAACGTTAGGCGTTGGGGCAAACGACGCTTTGAGGGGATCATCCGATCCCTTGCGCTGAACCAAAATCGCTACAGTCGCTCTCGAATTCGCCAGATCGGGCCTGGTTTTTATTATATTTTATGTATTCTAGAAGACCATTTTTCAAAAAATTTGCCGATCTAATGTTAACTAAAACCTCAAGCAAAATGAATGTGTGAAATTAAAAGCTACTTGCCATGACATCGAGGAACGTCAACATCCCATTTTCCACTGAGATCACACTCTAAAACTCTAGAAACCTCGCGTCCAATAACGTCCATAGAATAGCCGTCAGGACAGTCAAAACGGCAGGATGAGTAAAATCTCATTGGCTGGGTGACACATTCAGGAGGAGTCACAGTGGCATACCGGACAGTGGGAAGTTTAAGGCAGCGAGTTTCTGAGAAAGAAAACAAATAAAACATTAAGGACAATTTGCATGTAACTCGATTGCAGTGAAACCTCTATTAAGCGGACACCCTCGATAAGGGCGAATACTAAGCCGGGTCCCGAAATTAACGACTTGTATTTATTTCCCTTTATAACGAGCTCCTATTCAGCGGACACCTCCACTAAGCGGACGCGGACACTAAAATAAATTGATTTGGCTGATTTCTATTGTTAAAAGCCTCTATTAGGGACTGTGCAATAATTATCAGGAGGGGGGCTGAAAACTAGAGTTATCTAGCAAAAACTTAGACAGTACCCCCCCTCCAAAACAAAACAAAAAATAGTTCTAGCCCCCCCCTATGTTATGTTAAAAATAACGTCGCACCCCCACCCCCACCACAACCACCACCCACCCAAGATTTACACAAAGCATTTGCTAAGTACCGGGGTGCTTACCACATTGGCTCAAAATCTAAAACTTCTGAAGCCAGAAAGAGAAAGGAGCAGAGAAAACAAAATAAAAGAACAGGAAATTGAACGCTTCAAATAACAGACGAAAAAGAGCTTGCATTATATTTAGATCCTTGGGAGGAGAGCCTGATGAACTTTGTTATGAGCCAGATGTATATGGAATTCAGCAAATCGATTCAGTCGATGAAGAAACATTACTTTTATTCACATCAAAAACCGACAAAGCTTGTCTGCGAGATCTTTTTGACTCCCATTGTTTTATGGGGGAAGCTGAAAAACAAGTTCATGATTTTTGCTTTACATAGGATCAGCTCAATTAATTAGAAGACAGGTTGAAATTGATCAGTTGTGAATTTGCTTTTCATTTTGATGGAATATTTTCAATAATCGTTTAACAGCTGTTCGTATTGATATTTGTTACAGTCTATCATGATGCCTGTATTGAGAATCTTTTATTGCGTTTAATTTTATTTACATTTCGAATAAAACTTAAGGCCCTCCTCCGTCAAATGACTGATTTTACTTTGAGCCCCCCCTATCTTGGAAGCAATTTTATGTAATGCCCCCCCCTCTAGTTTTTCAGCCCCCCCTCCTGATAATTATTGCACAGTCCCTTAAGCGGACACCGGACTGCATTGACAATAGTAGTATTGGATTACGTCCTTGAAATACATACTGTAGTCTATTAAAAAAGATAAATATATTTAACTGTTCAAAAGTTCACCTGAAAGTCTTCACAAAGTACAACACAGCATCCTTAGCTTCCATAACAACATGGAACTTTTTTTACAGTACAGAGTGACCGTTTTTACAAACCTCTATTAAGCGGACTCTTGGAAAGGTCGAAGGGGATAATTGAGCTTAAATCATTGTTTTATGGTTTGAATTACACACATATTTGATTTAGTTTGAGATTTTCAGGTAGTTATGTTTAGGGAAAAGATTAAAACGACATTGCGTTTTATGACATATCAAGCACAGAAAAGTTGATTGAAAATGCGGTTTGTTGGGATGAATTTGCCTCGAACTTTGGGGCCAGTTTTTTGAATTTTTTCAGAAACACTCTCTCCAGTAAATTGTATAGCTTCCGAAACAAAATATCATTCAAAATTACAGTTAGGGTGCGGCATATTTACAGTACAGTATATTACTTTAAGAATTTTAGGCTGATTATCTGTTTTCGAATTCCTCCTTTTTCTAAACGGCAAAACTAGTCGACAAAACGAAAAAACCTGTACTAAGAAAACTATTAATAATTGATACTCCAATACATTCTAAAAAGGAAATGTCATAAGCTATAATGTAAGAATAATGCAAGAATGTTTTCAGCCTATATTAAGCCCGGGCCGGAAAACCAATATTAAAAAAAAGAGTGTATTACTAACTGGTTTATGTGTATACCTTTTTTGCCCTAATTTTCTTCTCAAATCAACATGATTTCTCCCAAAACAACCGTCATGCCCCCTTAATACCGTCTTTTATCTGCATTTGAAGGAACAGTAGGAATGGTAGGATAATTCAGGGTTTGAGCATATACCAGTAGGTGGATCGGCGTCAAGCACGAAAAGCGGGGGACATCTAATAACTAGAAGCAAAAATGTCATCATTGCAATATTAAATGTCATTATCATCATCATCATCTTCATCATTATCATCATCCGTATTGGCCTTGGGCTCCTGCCATGGTTAATTAACATAACATAGCTGTAGTGTATCGAGCGACTAAACAGCTTAAATACTCTCACGGAACACAACGAGTCAACAAGCACATGGTTCGGACTAACAGAACAACAAGACAGGGGTCACGTGACCCCTAACAAGTTCCCAGGACCGCACATTCCTCCCCCTCAAGTCCCTAAACAATATGTGGCATCTCGCCTTGAACTTAATGTTCATGGGAGCAGGAGGGGTCCATCAGTAATAACGCTGTGGTGGTCTTCGATCCCTTACTGGATATCGTCGCTCCGGGGTAGCAGGGACTAAGCTTGGGTCTTCGGGTGTAGTAGGTGGCTCAAACTCCCCACAGGTTACTTCAGGGCTATCTACATCGGGTACTGCAACCTCCGGAACAACACTTCCCTCGTTGCTATGGCTTGCCCTTTGAGCTGTTGGACTGGGGCAAAGAGGCTCTGTAGTACAAGAAATTAATTGGTCAAGATGTCTCCGAACTACCATTCCATCTTCTAGTTCAACTCGCGCAGACAGAGGGCCGGTTTCCTGGATGATAGTTCCAGGGACCCACGTCAATCCCCGGGAGTAGTTTCTGACACTCACGGCATCACCAAGCTTCACTCCGCGTGTTCGGCTATGCTGATCATGCTGTTTCTTTTTTCTAAACTGAGTTTTCTAAATGTAGAAAACATCCATGGAACCTTTCTAAACACAAAAATTCCCTTTCAAAAACGCATTTTCTATGACAATGGAGTACAGAATGTAACCCATAACCTCCTTAAAAGTCAGATTATCGGCCGCTTAAATCCACCATACATTGGCTCAGTAAATAGACTCAGATTTGTCAGTCATTTCTAAAGCCTTTTGAAACAATAGGGGACAAACCTCTCGAGGGGAGAAGGGAGGAATTCGTTTTTACTTACCCTACGGACGTACGGTGACGTGATAACCAAGTTTTCTCGGATGGATAGTTTACCATTTTCGCTGAAGTATGGAGTTCCACGCTCGCGCGCGCGGAGGCTCCGCTAAAAATCCTTTCCTCATTTCGCATTGCTTAAATTTTTGGAATTTTTTCCAACGAATATTTCACTCGACGAGCGAGATTACATTACCCGCGGGAAAATCAAAACAGCCTAAAAATAACTTAAGAGGTGTTACGAGAGGGATTGGAAGACTAACCCTCTGGTCCTTTTACGCTCTCTTGTAGGCGGTTAGGCTCTTATTCAAAATGGATGGCAGTCTTGCAGAGTAAATAGAACTTTTCAGGCAAATAAAAAGATAAAAAAAGACCGACTGCCAACACTTTTACACTAATAATGGCAGTGATGTACAAATTTAGGTCGAGGTCTTTATCTCATCTTGGCATTGGAATGGTTGTCCAGACCACACCATGATGTTAGGTCCATCGGCCACGATGCACTTCCTCTCTGCACTGCCTGATACTTCATAGCCTTCATTGCATTTGACTCGACAAACTGAGTTGTATTTCGAGTTGCAGACACCAATAAAGGCGCCGTTGCTTGGGGGGTTCAACTTTTCGCATGATCTAACTATAGTCAAGAAAAAAAATAGGAACCCATTAACTTAAGTCAGTGGGCGTTCCCAGCCTGAGAATGCAGCCGACGCCACCACATGGTTTCCCCGCGCATGACCTCTGAGGAACGAGCGCAGGAATTCCATACTGATGTCTTGTCACTACCAAGATCTAGGTAGTACTTCTGACAGATCATGCCGCGAGAAATATTTTTTTCGACCAATCACAAACATTCGGTGGCTCGTAGGGACAAAACACGCCCCAGAATCCAAAAACACTTTCCAGAATCTCAAACACGTCCCAGGGTCCAAAACACGTCCCAGAATCCGAAACACTATCCAGTATCCAAAAACACTTCCCAAGGTCCAAAACACGTCCCAGAATCCAAAACACTATCCAGAATCCAAAAACACTTCCCAGGGTCCAAAACACGTCCCAGAATCCAAAACACTATCCAGAATCCAAAAACACTTCCCAGGGTCCAAAACACGTCCCAGAATCAAAAAACACTTTCCAGAATCCAAAAACACTTCCAGGGGTCCAAAACACGTCCCAGAATCCAAAACACTATCCAGAATCCAAAAACACTTCCCAGGGTCCAAAACACGTCCCAGAACCCAAAACACTATCCAGAATCCAAAAACACTTCCCAGGGTCCAAAACACGCCCCAGAATCAAAAAACACTTTCTAGAATCCAAAAACACTTCCCAGGGTCCAAAACACGTCCCAGAATCCAAAACACTATCCAGAAGTCAAAACACTTCGATCCGAGAATTTTGGGAAGTGTTTTGTCCCTATGAGACACAGTACAAACACTACCCAGATCAAGGCAGTAACACGTGTGACTGTATTGATTGTATTCCGCTTTAGTCCCCAATATAATAATTCTGTAGCCTAGTTTTAAAGTTCATATCCAGCGAACTCCGTTATAGGTGCCGCTACTCTTACAACAATCGTCCCAGTAATAGGGACCAGTCCGAACGAACAATGTGCAGAAAATCACACCAAAGAATAAGGTTTTTTTATGATCGTGTTATTGGAATCAATATAAGTAAACGACTATCGTAAAATAAACAGTTCTTAATCAAATATTTACGTTAAACATATCATTTATTCTTATCACGTTAACATCCAAAAAATACTACGTAATTAAATTGGCGCATGTAAAGGCAAAAATTGCTCAGTTAACTTTAAATAGAAAACTAAGCCGCTCGCTTCACAGGGATCCGAATATTTTTTAAAACGGATATTTTTTTCTCTGCCTTCAATAACAAAAACGCGTCCACGCGTAGGCTATATGTCGCCCGTCCACATGAAAACGCCAAAATTACGGATTTACGATAGCATCCCTTTAAGAGTATGCGTAATGCTAGTAGTATATGATGTATGACGGTTTTCGTCCGTCCAAAGCTACTAGAGAAAAACCGAGAAGCCGGCGTTTTCAAAAATCTCCTCTCTGGGGATCGTAAATGAAAACCAGGGTTAATTTCTGGTGCCCGAAAACGCCGTTTACGTGTTGACGGAAGGCTAATTGAGACGGATAAAAAAACCTCTGTTTGCAAAAACATCCGAAACATAACTTGTAGATGGGGCCAAAAAAGTTCTTTCTCACCTGTACAGGGGTTACCATTCTCTGGACGGCCTACATGTCCTTTCAAGCACTTACAATCAGATATACTCCTGCTTCCAGTGAGACTATGGCCTGAGTTTGCTGGGCAGGGTTTACAGGTACTTGAAGAGCCATCGTTGTATGTGTTATGGGGACATGCTGTAGTTTCACAGAAAAGGAACGCAAATAACAAAAATTGATAGGAGACATCTCAAGCCCTAAGAACGTCTGCGTGGGAGGCAAGCTTCAGAGTTTGGGCATCCTTTGTCTCTTCTTTTGTTGACCGTTGAATTTTTAAACCCATTATTTCACATAAAAACGGCCTGAAATATCCTTGTCAGTTATTCTCAGTCAGACGACTTTTCCATACCTGTTTTCCATCTATTTTATTGTTTTGTTTGTTTTTTGTTTTCTTAAACACTCACTCAGCGGAGAGGTAAGGGATTCTTCTGTTGAAAAATATGACCTATAGCCCTGTATTAGGGCCTGTTTACGTGGGGGTGGGGGACCCCAGGTGGGTTAGGTTACTCGCTGAAATGGGGTAGCCCACCTGTCCATATAACCTTTCATTTTGGTTTGATCACGTTTACATGATAGGTTGGGTGACTGTATAAGAGATAACCCAACCAAAGTAGGCTACCTGACCTGCCTGTGGTCCCCAGGCTCCATGTCAATAAGCTCTTTGTTTAATAGCAAACTGTTCCTTTTGGACTTACCATAACAACGTCCCGCTGTTCCTGACCCTTCATATCCTTTTGCGCACAAGCACTGGTAAATCGCGTACGTTAAATGACAAACACAGCTTGCTCTTTGGTCGCAATAGTGGATGCATTTATTAGGGTCTACGGTTTGCGATCTT